TGAATAAAGAAAGAAGAAAGGGGTAAACCAGAGAAAGGAAATAACACTTGGATCGTTATTGTCACATTTGATATGTCACGTGGTCTATCTTTACTTTACTTGAATATAAGAGTGGAATTTTTAAAAATTAACACACTTTTAGCACAAGTTCAAAATTGGTTTTTAGAGTAATTTTTATCTTTCAATAAATAAAAATCAACTTTAACAATTTTATTATAAATTTTAATCTAAATAAAGATATAAATGTGTTTTAGGAATTTAAAATTGCACATCATCAAATGAAAAAAGCACTTATTCAAGCTTGCACCTAAACAATATGATTAATCACTTAATAAATATTTTAATTAAAAGCTCTACTAATTGAAGTACGTGTTATTAAGTCATCGCAGCTCTGAAGGGACTCTAAATTTGGGAATGAATGGCTGTTTTGCGTTTTAGTGTACCAAAAGGAATGGGGGAAAGTGGTCCTATCGTTATCATAGCAAAATCTGACGATGCAAGTCTTTTTACGGACAAGGGGTTCGAACGGTTATCAGAAAACTGTTCGAAGTGATTTTGTGCAAAATGTATACAGCATAATTCTGTTTACATATGATATAATTTATTTTCAACAATGTATAATTATAAAACAAAATTTTATGAGTGTCATACATGGTGTGAAAAATAAGGTACAAGGTGAAATCTGAATTATATATATATATATATATATATATATATATTTTATCAAATCTTGAATATGAACTGTTAGGACGGTTACAGGACCATTCCTGCCCCTCTTCTGTCTTTTTGCCAATTAGAGAATAAGTGCAAACTCTAAGTGTTAAATATTAGGAGTGTAATTTAAGAGGCAACTTAGAATGGGGATACGTACGTCTTATTTGTGGCGGCAAAGACATATCTAAATTGTGGCAAGACAAATTAGGGAGATTATCGGTATTTACATATGTTTTTTATGAGTATATTTTTTAATTTTATACACATCGAATCGTTATAATAATTTTATAAAAAAATTTAAAAAAAATGCAACCCAAAACAAGAAGGCGATAACTTGCTTGGAGTAACTGGTGACTTGACTGCTTCCTGAGAACAGGATTTAATATGTGGGGGCCAAATTTTGAAGCATCTTGTGATCTCTCCCGCTGCATGGTATGTTATATAAACGTCTGGTGCTGATTTTTTCCCCGTGGATAAAACCTGACCAGATGGCTTCTTCTCATTGGCTGGTTCTCTTAGTCCCCAATCCAGATCAAAACTTGAACTGAATCGACACCGATCGTACAGAAACTGATATTCCCGGGGACATTTCCACACCTAATGGGTTCAACAAAACTTGAGAAACCAAGACAAAGAGTCTAGTTTGATACTACATTGAATCAAGAAAGAGGCTGCTTGTTGGTAGCTCTTCTTACCAATTCCAGTTTTCATGGCGCCAGCTCTCTCTTCAAATTCGTTTTTACTGAACATACCCGCATCCCAATCAAGAAAAACAGTCAAGAAACAAAGGCTTACTGCTTTTGCCAAAAAAGCCGGCGCTGGACCTTTTTCAGGTTTTCAGTTTGGTAAATCAGCAGATGATCCTTCTTCAAGAGAAGGCCAAGAAGATATTTCCGGCAACTCTTCCCCGTTTAAGTTCAATTTTGGCAAGTTGCCCGACGTGAAATCCTTTGTTCCTGCTGTCAACAGCCCGGCTTCAGGATTATCATTGATAAGGCGCAAGGATCCCGGAACAGTGTTCGTTGCTGGTGCTACAGGCCAGGCTGGAGTACGCATTGCCCAATCACTTTTGCGGGAAGGGTTCAAGGTTAGAGCTGGAGTTCCTGACCTTGGTGCTGCCCAAGAACTAGCTCTTCTGGCTGCAAAATACAAGGTTTGCTTCTTCAATTTAGTTAATATGACGTTCAAGAACAAATGGAATCTTCTAATAATTCATAGCGAAATGAACCTCTAGTCTTCTGTCTTGACAATTTAAATAAATTACAGCAAAACGAACGTTAAGCGTTCCTACGAACTTTCAACTACGATTAACATGCCTATAATCCTGCAGATCATTTCTAATGATGAATCGCGTCGTCTCAATGCTGTTGCATCAAATTTCAATGATGCGGAAGCAATAGCAAAAGCTATAGGAAACGCTAGTAAAGTTGTCGTTACAATCGGCCCTGGAGAGAATGGTCCGACTGCAGATGTCACTTTTTCGGATGCTTTGCAAGTAATTCAAGCTGCGCAGTTGGCTAATGTTGGTCATGTGGCCATAATATATAATGGATCATCATTCACTGCGTCAACTTACAATGTGCTAGATGGCATAACATCCTTTTTCGGCAATATGTTTGCGCGGTCTGCACCATTGACGATCCCAGAGTTTCTCCAGAAGTTAGTGGAGACAGACCTTAGATACACCTTGATAAAGACTAATCTCACCGAGGATTACTTGCCAGAGAGTTCGTACAATATCGTTGTGTCGGCTGAAGGAAGTGCTGGTGCAACCGACTACAAAGTAATGTAATGTATGCATTTTCTTTTTTCTTGTCATTGTCAAAAGATGCAGTAGACTTTGAGTTCAGAAATGCAACTCTTAAACTGCTTATCTCGTTCATCCTCATTGAATTAGCTGTTTGTTTTGACTAACTCAGGTTTCCAAGTCAAAAATTGCCTCTCTAGTAGCAGGAATTTTCTCAAATACTGCTGTTGCTGAGAATAAGGTATTGCTTCGTGACTCATAAGAAGTCCTGTCTTTTCTTCTTCTTTTGTTGAACAGAATGGTTCAGTTGCTCATCTTGTACTAATATATCCTCCAAAAAATTAATTAGTAACTGTTAATTTACCCTAGCCCCATTACAAAAATAAAGTGCTATCGAGTAAAGTCATTTGCACGAGTGCTTGAACTATTACCTGTAAGTATATGAGGATGTGCTTGGAAACTGGAAAAAGAAATTAATGAGCATTACAAGAAAGACAAGCAATGGTCAAAAGATTAACTTGAGTTGTTTCACTAAGTTGAATTGAAGATGTGCACTTGTCATTGATCAATCTGAGGCTATTATAGTGCTCAAAAATTCTGACCAGCCTGATTCTTCTGATCTATGCTGGAAGCAAATTCTGTTACCTAATTCCGTTTGTTGGATATGGATTTCCCTCTTCTTGATCTGATGATATTTTATTTCTCACCACTTAGTTCCATTTGTTCCCTTTTCTCTTATTCAGGTTGTGAAAGTCTTTACTGATCCAGCAGCACCCTCAAAGCCTGCAGAAGAACTTTTCACGTAATGAAAGTAGAAAGAATCCTCAAGTATCTTACGTTTTCTGTATGAATTTTGATTTATTAAATGTTGGGCATGGCCGATGATGCATGTTTATCAATATATCGTTTATACATCAGTATACAATAATGCCTTCTGCTTAGCTTATAGCTGGAGTGCGGTCTAAATATGTGAACAAACGTTCTTGCAGCATCATCCCGGAGGATGGGAGAAGGAAGGCTTATGCAGAAGCCCTTGCAAAAGCCAGGAAAGAGGAAGAGGCTACAAGAGCAACAGAGAAATCTCGTCTAGCTGCGGAAGCAGCAAAGATGCGCAAAGAAGAGTTAAAGAAACTTGCAAAGCAGGAAGCTGAGGCGGCCAGTTTTGCAGAACAAGCCCAAGAGAAGGCGGCTGCTGCAGGAGTTTCAGTTGAGAGCCTCTTAAGTAAAGCCCAAGGCATAAGCTCAGGACTATCTTGGGAAAACCTGAGCTCACAGCTGAAATCAGCTGTTCAGCAACCTGCGGAAGCAGCAAAGATGCGCAAAGAAGAGTTAAAGAAACTTGCAAAGCAGGAAGCTGAGGCTGCCAGTTTTGCAGAACAAGCCCAAGAGAAGGCGGCTGCTTCAGGAGTTTCAGTTGAGAGCCTCTTAAGTAAAGCCCAAGGCATAAGCTCAGGACTATCTTGGGAAAACCTGAGCTCACAGCTGAAATCAGCTGTTCAGCAACCGGGCGAGGACTCTAAAGTGCAGGTCGCTACTGTGAGGGGTCAGGGTAGGGCTCGAAATCTGCCTGCCCAAAAAGCTGTAGTCAAAAAATCTGCTTCCTTAAAATCAAGGGAGGTTCCAAAGCCAAAGGCCAAACAACCAGAGTCCAAGACAGAGGTCAGAAAGGTTTTTGGCGGGTTGTTTCAGCAAGAAACCATTTATGTTGATGATGACTAAGAAGATTGGAGCTACATATATTCTATTCTCTGTGACTTTTTCATCTGCCTGTGTGTTCATTATTGATGCTGGGTTAAGTTGGTTTTGACAGAACGAGCTAGAATGGAGCACATTTTTGCACAGTGGTAAGACTTCGAAGAATTGCTATTTATCAGATAGTGGCATATTTGTGGACTCTGAGTTGTACTACAGACTTCCAGCTTGTTGTAACAAATACTTAAATGTTTAAATCGAGATTCCAACACATACAGCCGACTACAGTCCTCCTCTATTAGTTACTTAGTCACTGAGGGTTCTGTTTCAATGGTTTTATAGTTTACGCATGAAATGGAATAGACCAGCTCATAAGGTGAAGTCAGAGTGCATAGACAGTAGCTCATGCAGAATCTCGCCTCTCTAGTCTAGTTACAGTTACTGCACTGCTAAGTCTATTGCAAACTAACTTTAAGGTTCTAAATTCCATGTATTTATGGCACAGGCTACTTAGATTTTCTACCTTGAGATCAAATTGGTAAGTATTAAGTATTTATACTATTGAACTGAAAGAAAGTAATAGCTAGTAAAGAACTAAATAGCTGAGATAGCTTAACTCGCCGTAGGACTTCATTCTGTACCTTTAGGTGAAAAGGCAAAATAATAATAATAAATAAACAACATCTGGTATTAAGAATGACATTTAAGACTAAGCAGTAAGAAAAATGTGGACAAGAAGAAAACTTTCTAATTCTCTTTTGTGCGTCTTTTCATCCTGTAAACGGTGTCCTGAAGGTTGCTCAGCTTGTCTTACCTACATCAACCATCGTGTCTTTCAGACCGCAGATTCTTTACAGTGCTACCGTCCACAAGTTGTTACTGCATGTCACATGGTTAGTGCAATCCAATCACGAAAGGTGTAGCAACTTTGAATATGGAGAACACAACCAGAAACAAGAAACTTGATTTCCCTGAGAGACTGTTTCATTGCTCTTGGCTTTTGATCTTCTGCACTCATTCCTGTGCCATCTCTTTAATCCTACCTACGTAATGTTTTTTCTCATTAATTTTGCTGCACAAACATCTCGTACGATTAAGCAAAAGGTTATGTTTTTATGCAAGGTACTGAGCGGTAAGATATGTAAATCACTCGCCATTTCAGGGCTATTCCTGTTGTTAATGTACTTGTACCTATCTAGCCATGCATCCAATCAATCGTCGGCATTGTTATCTGCAGTGCAATCAAGATGGAAACCTTCATCACCCAACCTTAACTCTCCTACCAAAATTAGCGACATTGTATTTGGAATAGCGGGTTTATCAAAAACATGGGGCTATAAGAGATGGTATGTCGAATCATGGTGGCGCCCAAACACAACCAGGGGATACCTATTCCTGGACACAGCTCCAACGCGGCACTTCCCGTGGCCGAGGTCATCTCCTCCTTTCAGAGTTTCCGAAGACATCTCTAAATATGACAAGTACTACAAACATGGAAGGCCATTTTTTATCAGAATCTTGCGCGTAATCGAAGAAATATTTCGTGTAGAAAGCGAAGGAGCGAGATGGTACGTCATGGGAGATGACGATACAGTTTTCATGATCGAGAATTTGGTAGAGGTTTTGTCTAGATATGATCATCGAAAATATTTCTACATTGGAATGCCTTCAGAATGTGTAATTTCCAATTTTGTCAACTCTTTTGAAATGGCATTTGGAGGAGCTGGCTATGCACTGAGCTATCCCCTGGCCAAGGCTGTGGTAAAGAACATGGATGTATGTATCAAAAGATACTCAACTGCATTTGCCAGCGACTTCATCATGCACTCCTGTATAGCTGATTTGGGCGTCCCCTTAACCAGAGAGAGGGGGTTTCATCAGGTAGCATTCTAACTGCATTCAGGCAAATTTTTATCGTTTTAATCAAATGATATTTCCGTCGTCTAATTAAGATTAAGGAATAAGCCTCCTTTTTTTTGTTTCTCTGTTTTATATATCTGAGTTATATGGCATCTTATTTGTTCTTCCTGTTACAGATAGATCTACACCGTGACATATCAGGGTTTCTATCAGCTCTTCCTCACACTCCTTTACTCACTCTTCACCACATTGATGCAATAGATCCCATCTTCCCCTCAATGAATCGTCCAGAATCAGTGGCACATCTCATGAAAGCTGCAAAAGTTGATCAGTCTCGACTACTGCAACAAAGCGTGTGCTATTTCAAGCGAAGCAACTGGACTTTCTCGGTATCATGGGGCTACTCAGTTCAAATTTACGAAGACATCATCCCTCCAAGCATTCTTCACAAGCCCATTGCAACGTTTATACCGTGGAAGAAGGGTGCCAATCCTCCATACATGTTTAATGCCAGACCTCCCTCTACAAATCCTTGCGAAGCCCCTCACGCTTTGTTCTTTGGTGGTGTTGAGGAAGCTAGAGCAAACCATTTTGTTACCAGTTACACCCAGAGATCCCAACGCGGGTTAGGAACGTGTTCATCAAGCGGCAACCATTCAGCTGAGTTTATCTCCAAGATTTATGTTCTTTCACCGATGGAAAAACTTGAATGGGTGAGTTGGTCCAAGTCATCATTACCCGTTCTCTCCTTCATTGTTGAATTCGCTTGTTTCCATCTTGTACAAAACTACATTTCCATGATGATTTTGGATTCTTCACACAATTGATGGATTTATATTTAGGCACGTACTATACTAACGTGATTTTGTTCTCTGATTCTTTTTTTTTTTTTTTTTGGGGTGCAGGACGGAAGCAGAAGAGAATGCTGTGATGTTGTGCAACTGGTTGGCAAGAATTCTATAGGAATTAAGCTTAGGACTTGCATGAAGGATGAGATAGTAGCCTGATCAATCCATTCTCCATTTATGTTCGTGGCAATGACTCAACACATCTCAAAGCTTGTAGCGATTTTCATTTTTACTTTGCTTTTTTCGGCCAAGTCCTACATTTCTTGGCCAAAAGAGAAAAACTTTTTTTTTCCCAACTCTTAAATTAGAGATGACAATGAGTTAATGACATCCCTCCTAAGTCCTAATATATGGAATTTATTCAGCTTTGGAGAATTAGGATGTAATTTTCTTACGATTTTATCTTTTTTTGTAACTTTAAAGTTCACATGTTTAAGTTTTCGAGTAATTGATTTCCAAATTGTACTTTATTTATTTATTTTATGCTGTCAAAATTCAACTAGTAAACAACCAACTTTACTGTCCGCTGGAGGCCCATGTTCGAAATGGTAAGCCAATGGAATGTATGATACTGAACTCGGGCATGTCAAGCCCAATCCCGCAAATCCCAATTAAGAATCATACCAATAAAAATCTTCTTGCTAAACAAAAACTTGAACGTTTTGCGACAACTTGACATTATACACTTACTAGCATCATACATACCCACTTTGGGGTACGTCCTTTACATATACATGAGAATTTCACAAGATGGCAAAGACAAAAGTGGAGAAATGGAATGGCAAATTTTGGACAAGACCCATAAACTCCTCCTTGTTGGTAAAGTTGAATTTGTTATTTTTTTGGAGTAAAGTGCTATAAAGAATTTGCATGAACGAAATTAGTTGATTGCCTTGTGAAATTCTAAGTTCTACCAGCCTAGGAGGAATTAATTGAATTGACCGAGAAAATGACAGGTGATAACACCTATTCACATAGATAAACAAGACTAGACTATATATCTAGATTGGTTGATCGTAGAAACAAGACAATTTTGTACATAGTACAATCGTGCTTAGAATTCTGTATTCATTTGTTCCATCTTAATTTGGACTATATGCCCAATGTACAGATATCCACTCATCCAATCCGTAGCTCACAGCTCATATATATAAAACGGACGAACCCGAAAAAGAAAGAAAGCCAAAAAGGGGAGGAGGAGAAGCCAACGCTGTCAACTGCCACACTTTATTTACAAATTGTCCCGTCCCGCAATGACAACAGACAAATTAAAAGCATCGATCTGAAAGAGTAAAAGGCGTGTTTGCGCCGTGCAAATGGGTGAATGCAAGATGATAAACACGAGCCATGATCAGTGTAAAGATTGGCATCACGACTTCTCTCGTCTCATTTCACGCATTTCCAGCTACTCTTACTCAGGAAAGAAAAAAGATACCTGCACCATTTGCTTTCACATGTTTGAATGCGTCCCAATTGATCAGTTTTAGAGACGTTTCCTAATGGCAGTAGTAAAGTAATACTGCCGTCTGACGGGTTCTCTTCTCTCTCAACCTTCTAGACTCCACAGATCCATGGTGACTTGGGAGTTTTAATCTCTTTTTTTATTCATTTGCCAATTTTAACAAAATTATAGTAGCTGTTGAACTGAAGCCAATTCCTGAGGATAATAGCCAATACAAACGAGCGTGAAGAATTCAAGCGATACGAAAACAAGTAAATTTCAGCCCATTTTTATCCTATTTATGTCGCTTCTCAGGAGGTATAATCTGGTGTCCCAAACCAATTCCACAGAACTGATCAGGAGTCAACAAAATGTCGCGCAATTTTCTAATGGGGTGGCTAAAAAGTTGTACAAGTTAGTGGTCATTTCCGGGTTGGTCCTGTATATCATGTATATTCTTTGGCCTGGTTTTCATTGTTGCTATTCATTCTCAGTTTTAACTCACTTTAGGCCAACAGTCGTGGGTAATTTAGAGAGCTCATACTCTTCTGGTACCGGTACTAATAGTACTACTAGCATTAGTCATATTGTTTTTGGAATAGCGAGCACTTCGAACTCATGGAGGAACAAGAGATGGTTCATTGAATCCTGGTGGCGGCCAAATGTGACCCGAGGATTCGTGTTTCTGGATACATTCCCAGTTGATTTGATTCCATGGCCTGCTTCTTCTCCTCCCTTTCGGATTTCAGAAAACACTTCCAGATACAAAGATTACGACAAGCATGAAATGACTCACGCGATCAGATTGGCCCGGATAATCAGAGAGATTATTAACGAGGAAGATCAAAATGATGAGGATGTGAGGTGGTATGTTATAGCTGATGATGACACTGTCATATTTATCAACAATTTGGTTGAGGTTCTTTCGAGGTATGATTACAACAAGTACTTCTATGTTGGGATGAATTCAGAATGTCATGCATCCAATTATTTTCACTCGTTTGAGATGGCATTTGGTGGAGCTGGATATGCTTTGAGTTACCCTCTTGCAAGGGCTTTGGCTAAGAACTTGGATGTGTGTATCAGGAGGTATCCAAGTCTATATGGCAGTGACCACATCGTGCAGTCCTGTGTGGCTGATTTAGGAGTCTCTCTCACTCAGGAAAAGGGGTTTCATCAGGTAATTAGACTAGCTAGCTAGAAGACTGTTGAAGTATTCTTTTACTTCCAGGAATTACAAAATGCTTAGAATTTACTATGAATGTTATTTGAGCTGAATTGCAGTCTTTGTTAGTATTGAATAAATGGCGGATGCCAATTGCAATTTGTGTTTGGCCATGTTTAAATTGATATATAAATAATTCTGTTAGAAAATTTTCAGAAAGCGCATAGCATAATAACTCACCTTATGCTGGTGCTGATACCATTGAATTAAATCAGGTTGACCTCCACAGCGACATCTCAGGTCTGTTATCAGCTCATCCACAGTCTCCTCTAGTCTCCCTCCACCACCTGAAAGTCGTAGACCCCATTTTCCCCTCCATGACCCGTAACCAGTCGCTGAACCATCTAATGAAGGCTGCAAATGCTGACGAGTCCAGATTACTCCAACAAACCATTTGTTATCACAAGCAAAACAACTGGAGTTTCTCTATTTCATGGGGCTACTCCGCCCAAGTTTATGAGGCCATATACCCTCCCAGCATCCTCCGACTGCCCCTCCAGACCTTCAGGCCCTGGATGTTTGCTAAGCCATTTTACATTCTCAACACCCGAATCCCTTCCACAAAAGATCCATGCCAAATACCTCATGTCTTCTTCTTTGATTCCGTTGAGACAATTACTGATATTATTGGACGACAGCACCTTATAGCCACAACCTATACCAGGAGGAGGCCGCGTTTTTTGCCAGCTTGCTCATCAACCGGGAATCATTCTGCTGCCCACATCAACATGATTCGTGTCCTCTCCCCAGTATTGGAGATGCATGACGGGGTGAGCAAAATTTATTCAAGTCTTCTTCTCTGTGCATTTCATTTCTTTCTCATTTTTCTCCATTTGGTATTGATCATTTGATATCGGAAAAACTGTATGTTGTTGCCCCTTTGGTATCAATGCAAGTCATATCCCGAAACCAATTGAACTGTCCAAACTTTGCCATGTTCAACAAATAATTACGTTACTATGAGTTTGCGATGTACACTAACTAATCTTTCTTCAAATCTATAGCTTAAATCTGCCTGAATAAAAGAATCTAATTAGGCTTATAACTACCAAAAAGTTATTTCTATGAGCTAGTATTAATTCCAGTAGTAGTCTAGTCCATTTTTTCAAAAAAAAAATAAAATATTTAGTGTAAGTGGGTTGGAAACTGTCACTTACATTCCCTTTTCCCAACCACCTAATTCATCCGCAACGGATCTTCTGTCCCATACCCTGTGTCTTTCTCGAGGTCTAGTCCATGTACATATATGCAAACTGATTGAAAAAAATACAAGAAAAGGGGTCATTTTTACGGTGATGTACTTGAAAAGAAGTTTCCACATTATTGCAGTAGCGTTACTATTTTTATGGGACAGTGCTGTAGTGCCTATAGTTATGGTAACGATGTTAGGGAAACCTACTATTACAGGTTTCTATTATCTTTAGTGACAAATCGAATTTTTTAGCGACTTTTTAAATATTATATTAAAATAATTAATATTAACTTTAGTAAGTTTTTAATTAAAACGAGTAAGTATATGCCTAAAAGATAAGTTGTAGTCAAAAATAGAAATTTACCCTTTCAATAATTTAATTTACTTATTATTTGACAAATGTTACTTTTGTTTAATTAAAACTTATTAATACTAAAAGTAAAAAAAATTACATATTAAAGTAAGAAAATAATCGGTTTCTAAAACGGTTTGGGTTTCCACATCTCTCTAAAGTTGCTTCCCTTCTTTTTATAAAAGGAGTACGATCATCATCTTATGGAACGGGATTAGCTTTTGCTAAAATTTAGAAAATTGATCAAGCGGGCTAAGCAATTCTATCTTCAGGCTAAACTCTTCTGGTAGGTTTCATGCCTCAGTCTCTATTTCTGCCTTCTACTAAGCATTGATTCTCATTTCAGTCAATCAATTGGCCTGCCTAGGCGCGGAGGAAAAGCTAAATATGCTTTATAGATAGCACAGGTTCAGGAGAAAGGGTTTCCCCTCTATCAGACACAACAAAAGGGTTAGCAACGGTGGTAGCCAACCAAAGAGCATATGAAAAATAGCGGTGACGAGATTAGACCATCATGTTCTCTTGAAATCGTTTGTTTATATTGCTGTAATTTATTTATATTTCATTTGTTTTGTTTGTCAAGATTTTCTTATGAAATCAGGGCTGAGAATTTGAAGAATTTATTGCAATTTTGGGGTTGAAATTGTCCATTGAAACATCTAGGAAATGGTTGTAGTTTTGATTGTTTACGGGTAAAATATGCTTAATAGCCATATGAAACATCTAGGAAAGGACTTGAGACTAGGTGTTTAAGTTAAATGTGATTAATTTGGGAATGCATATAAGATGTTCGGTGAAATGCCAAAGAGAAATTTGACTTGGTGGTTTTGATTTTCAGTTTGGCGGACAAAATACAATTGATTCTTAAACATTTTAATATTTTTGATGATAATAAGCTTTTTGATAACTACCATTGACTTTGTCTCTAATAATTTCGTAAGCACGTTCCTGGCATATATACATAATCATAATTTAGTCTTTTAGGGTCAACTTTCAGAAGCAGTCAAATGGTTCGATATCTGTAAGAACATTCATAAAAGAGCATGAAGGCAAAATACGCAATGACATAATCAATTTTGCCTTCTTGAATTCCTCTAAAAGAAGGAATTTTGTCTTCTTTAATGAACGGAAAACTGATGTTGCAGACAAGTTTTTGCTGCTTATAGGTTTCCTTTGCATAAGAACTAGGCAATCTCTTTCAGGCATTTGTAGGTTGTACTAGGCTCTCTTCTGCAACTTTCGACCAATCCTATTTGCAAAAATTTTTTTTTGAGTCGCATGTTCTTTGAGAAAATCAACTTCGTTCAATATTTGAGAAGCTCACTTATATATTTCCTAAGACAGGAAACGCATGGTACAAAGTACATCTTGCTAAACAAATACGCAATCAATGTGCCTACTTGTACTTTCATTTATTTCATCTTCAGTATAGAAGAACAAACAAATAAAAAAATGACATAATCAATTTTATGCAATAATGAAACATTTTGAAATGTATTTACTTCCAGTTGAATTATTCCGTGGATGACCATACAAAATAACCCTTAACATTTACTTCATCACTACAAAAGGATGAAAAATACCATAAATAATTACCTGAAGGAAGAATAGCACATATTCTGCTATTGTTCTATCGTTATGTAGTTGTTCTTGGCTATCCAACCTAACAGCTTCATAATAATTCTTCCAAAATTTAAATGAAAGGAGCAGTCTATCTTTGAGAGCCACAATTTTGCTTACTCAATTATTAATCGAGTATTCAAAAGGTGATTTTGAATATATCTTATTCTGGTAGTATCCACTCGAGATTTTAGGAGTGTTAAACTTGTATCATTTTTTTAAACAACGGCTGCAGAACAAGGTGAAATTATTGTCAGATACAATAGCTAGAGTTGTAAGACTTTCTTTGCCTTATCTTGTAAAGGGGCCAAAAAGGAGTTAATGGATAGTAACTGGTTTCAGATCATTCCTCCTGGTCAGGTAATATATAGCTTGCTTTTATTTTTGTCTCGAGACATGCAATATAATTGTGCTGTATTTGCATTTGAATAGGCATTAATGTGGGCATGCAATCCTTCATTAATCCAAAGTCATGTACGAAACACTAGCTTGTTAGGAGACGAAAATCAGGTACATTTTTTTCTTCTTCACGCCTAAGTTTTATGTTACCTATTTGCTATGATTATGTGTTGTTGTGGCCTTTTTTTAATACAAATCTTGTGATGGTTTTGTAGTGAATGAACCAGATTTCAGCCAAGACCATTAAGAAATTTTATTCTTGAGAGGGTACAGATTTTTCAGATGGACTTTGCTAAAAAATTTTAGGATGATTTACGTTTCTCCGAAGGTAGTGTAATGCGTTTTGATTGTAAATCTGAACACAATCTCCTTAGTTTGCAATGATTGGTGTTTACTTGTTTTAATGTGAATACTTTCAACATCCAAGTGCTCTTGGGTTTGTAAACGAGAAATTTCAATTCAAACCGAAGCTTTTGATAGTGATTTCAGAGCCCTTGATTTGCAGGTGATCATAGTCTCAAATCAAGTTACTAGCCTCTTGATTGTTTCAGTTTCTGAACCCAAAGTCTTTGTGCTCTAAATTCAGTTCTTGGCCATGTAATCTTGTCATGCTTAGATATCCATATCTAGTAACCTGCCGCCTTAATTCTGGTGCATAAGTATCAGTTATTAAAAGTTAGTAAATTATATAAGATCTGAGGTTGCCATTCTTTGTTTTGGCCAATTTGCATTAGATGGACCTTTGTTTAGTCCAAGTACTAAATAAATTGGTGAGTAGATTATTACTGATGCTCAAAATGAGCCGTTTCATCCTATTTTGAAATACCAGTTTTATATAAAATGTCGTGAGACATGTAGAATTTTGTTGTTTACTTCAAATTGGACTGGCTTACTTGATTTAAGTGCCGTGATTTCCTCAGTAAGCCATTAGTAGAGGTCCAAACAAAATGACAATGGAAGTTTTGAATATGGTTCCCGTGTTGCTCAATATGACCTTTGATATGCTTCACTTTTGTACAAGTTACTGAGCAATGTATGCCTTGATCAGGGAAAAGAAAAGAGTTTGAGCACTTGTCTGTCAACTCTTCTCTCTGTGTGATCAAAGTAAAGAAGTTTATGTGCAGGGCGGCAATCTGTGCCTTATGGTGGGGGAAAAATAAAAGAATTTGAGGACGTGTCTGTCAATCTTTTCTGTGTTTGATCAAACTAGAGAAATTGAGGTGCTTCACAGCTGTCTGTACTTTTATCTCTGTTTCTTTTAAGGGCTTTGAACCTTATGCAGTGATTGTGAATGGAATATGGAAGCAACTCTGTTTAAAGGTGTTCCCTGAGATGTCCACTGTTACTCGTGCTATTGAAATTAGTAACATTGTAGAACCTGTGGAATCCAGGACCAATGAGCCTATTGAATGGGCATGTCTGAAACGGGACCATAAAGTATATGCATTTTTGGCTCAAGGTATTGCCTCCTTCCCAAGAAAAGAATGCTTGTCTGAGGCACTTGGTGCTTCAAGCACTGACAATTACCCAGATGAAAGCATTCAGAATACCCCGGAACCAAGTGACAGGATTGATCAGAGACCTTCTTACTGGTCGAGCAAGGGTGAAATTGATTCTGCAGTCCCTGAGACATTAACGTATAAATTGATGGCCAAACTCTGTGTGATTACTGAAATCCATATTCAACCATTTCAAGGTTATTTTAGAAGACTTTTCATTTTTGTTTGGGGAGGAGGGGGTTGACGGTGACTTCTTGTTTAAAACCTGTCTCTTTATTGGTAGAAAAACTTGATTTGCATTATCAGTGTACTTTCAGTTTGGTTCCCCCATATATCCAGCAAAGGCTGTAAGATTTTTGATGGGGGATTTGTATTGCTGGTATGGAAGCACAAATGGAGGGAGAAGTGTCTTTAGCTGCACAAGAATCTTGTCATGAAATATTGCTGGTCCAGATTCAGTATTACTAATTAACTGCGTTATAGGAGAATTGTTTGCAAAAGTTCAAGCTGCCAGAACCTGTCCTCTGCATTGGAGGGATTCTGCAAGTCCAGCTATTGGGTAGAGTGCAGAAACAAGAAATAGATAGTTTGTATTACATATGGTGAGTCCTACTTTATTATGATTTTTGTCGCTTGTGTTTGGTGCACAAGCGAGAGGGATTTTTCTCGCATTCACAGGTTTGGTGCAAGTATAAGAGATTGGGAGCACATGATCCTCAACACATTACCCGGTGCTAGATGGATTATGGTAAATGACTACGACTACGACGGCGACGGCGAGGACGATGATTTAGATGACCAGTATAACTAAGTGCTTCTGCTTCTTGCTACGCTTTCTGGTTTTCTTATGCTCTGTTCCTGCTGCCCTTCTGTAAGCTCTGAAGCACAAGATAGAATTTTGGAATTTTGGATTTGTTGGTGGGAACTAGTTTCGACTTTCTTTGTCCGTTCATCGTAACCGAGGAAACAATAGTTGTGGGGGTCTCGTAAATACCTTCAATGAATCCGGAAAAAGGCTACCAGCTTTAGGTACTATGAATTCTTTGGCATAAAGAAATCCAAGCGTTACTAGTGCATCAACCTTTCCTACTCTAACTATAATTAATGGCTAATAAAAGTCACCTTGGTACTTATCTCTTGAATTCTTAACTGTTTCAAAATTTAATAAAGAATATTATCACAACCACAACACTTTTGAATTCAAAACTACAAACAAGCTTATCCTTTTTTTAAAAATTTTGGGTTAAAGCTAGCAAAAGTTCTACTTATTTGCACCTTTCCTGTTAAAATTAATTTTTGTTGCAATTTCCTATTTTAGTTATCCATTCGACACTAGTACGGGCATAGATACGGATTAAGCAACCAGTTTGAGGAATAATATTTTTTATTAAAAAAAATTAATTTGAATTGAATTAACAATTTGATATTTTCACAAAAAAGTGTCATTTTTTTTGTCCTTTTTCAAAAAAATTTAAGACAACTATATTTTAGTAATTGTTGTCATTGACACTTAATTGAAGTTCATTAAGAATAATTGAAGTTCCGATATCAATACTCTATTCAAATGTAAAAATTCAACCTAAGTAACAAAATAAATGATATCTAAACAAATGAAATATGCGTTCAATTGATCGTGTTCAAACTACATCTTCTGTTAATAGTTAGTATATATGAAATTGTATTTTCCATTTGTAGAAAATTAATATGCATTTTATATCTACTAACGAATAAATTACCTATGTTTTGAACAAATCAAACCTAAACTTATTGTGTGATATGTATATAGTTGCTTACATTTATACGTATGCCATCATCCTTTCTTTATGATGGAAATTTCTTTTGATTATATTTAGGGGTGGCAATTTGCGATACGACCTGAAAAAATGATATGAACCTAGCACGATATATATTGATTCGGATTGAGGTTTTGCGGGGTCGGGTTAGAATCGAGTCGAATGCGACGAACCCGAAAAGAAAATGGGTCTTATTCGGGTCAAACCGTGGGTGATCCGATACGACCCCCCGATCACCTGTTTATGAATTAAAAATTATTTTACCTAACTAAACTACGTTATTCTTTTTGTTTCAAAGGCATTAATCACTTAATCCTAAATGAATTTATTTAACTTATTTGAAGTTGAAATTATTATATTTAGAAAAATAATTTATTATATTATTTTTTACTTTTATACTGCTTTTATTTATTTTATATTTGGTTTGGAACAAAACACTTTTACGATGTTTTTAATTTATTTTTGATTTGGTTTGGGATTATTTATTTAAATTTTTATTACTTGATTATGTAATTAGTCTTGTGTGAATTACAAATTACAGTGGTAAATTAATAAATTAAAATTAAGTTTTGGGTCATTCGGGTCGTCCCGCCAACCCGACAACTTGGAATTTTCAGATTCGGGTCAGATATCCTGACCCGTTTCGGGTTGGGGGGTCAAGTTCGGGTCAACCAGTTTTCTATTATACCTGGATCTCAACCCGACCTGTCACTCCGATTTGGACCCGATTGCCACCCCTAATTATATTGTCAAAAAAATAACATATTTTACAAATTATTCCAATTTATTTAGAAAATGTTACTAATTTCATTAGAAATTATGAAATGTAATCATGGTTTATTAATTTTTTACTAAATATAAATACAACATACAAAATGAAAATATATTTGACTTTGTTTTACTTTGATCAGAAAAACTTGTGGTACAAATAACGAAATAGTGACAAGGGTGCAAATTTCAAATCAACAACCAACGTACACTTAATTACGCTAATTTTTTAGTTGACCAAACTAATATATGCCATAAAGTAACTAGATTTTAGCATTTATAAATTGGCAATTTTAGCAGTTTATATACCATTCACCTATAAAAATTATGATTATTATAAAATGACATTTTATAATAATTTACATGCTATTTGCCAATTAAAAGTAAGTTTGATAAAAAAAATATATGCATATAAATCCATTTTGTAAATGATACAAAATATATTTGAATCTCACGAAACTTAATCTATGGGTAAATTTACTATAGTTTTCAAAGATTATGCCACATTAGTACAAATTTAACTTTTATGCTTGTGACCTAGAAAATAAATTTATTAGAACACATAACCTTTGTAAATGATACATACATTTATTAAAATGCTTAAAACACATAACATTGATGAATGATACATACAATCATATATTATACATTTACGTTACCAACAATTACTAACTATAATATTAAGTTTCAATCATTAATAAAAAAATCTTAGCATTATTTTAAATAAACTTTCTAATACTTGTTTCATATAAGTTTCTTTAAGTAAAATAGTAAATTTATGCCACAAACTAGTAAGTCTTGATGATTAACCAAATTTACTATTCTATCAACAGGATTTACTATTAATCCGTGAAAACTTACTATTACTTGAACTAAACTTACTCTCCAAGAAGAAAGTTTCGAATATAGAGTAGTAATTTATTTATTTTTTTAAAAGTAACTTTCATTTTTATTTCAATTTACTTTTTAAGACATAAATAGGATAACAGATTTCGTTCCCAAACTTACTTTTTAGAGAGTAAGTTTAATTCAAGTAATAGTAAGCTTTTATACATAAATAGTAACTCTTACTAATAACATGGTAAATTGATTAATAATCCAAACTTACTGATTTATGGGACACATGTGCTATTTTATTTTAAAACATATTTCAAACTAGTATTAGGAAGTTTATTTGAAATAATGATAAGATGTTTTATTAATAATTAATTCTTAGTACCTTAGTTAGTAAGTACTCATAATATACCTGTATAATACCTGATTATAGGTATAATTTAAAAAAATTATTTATATATTTTAAAATACTATGAAAAATAGTTTGACTTTTCACATAATCTTGTAAAATATGAAATAAAATTTTGTCGTATTATAAGTTTTTAATCATTTTCAATTTTTGAAAGGTTTGAAAGTTCGAATAACAATAACAACAAATCTTACTAGTTATATATAGAATATTACTTGTTTAT